CGCCGCCGCAGAGGAAGATGAAGGAGATGAAGCAGCGTAGGAAGAAGGAGCGCACGTGGGCCGAGGCCGCCCGCCTGGTGAGGGGGCCCCGCGGCGGGGCGGGGAGGGAGGCCTGTCCTGCCCTTAGGGGCTGCACGGGGCAGGGCCGGGGCCGGGGCCTGAGAACCGCTCCTGTCGGGAGCGTCCTGAGCTCATACAGGGGCGACCTGCCTCGTCCCGTGTGGAAAGCGGGCCCTTATCACGGATTAGTTGCACGCAGACCGTGTGTGGGTAGCAGTGACATCTCTTATTAAACCCCCCGAATATATTCAAGCATATTTGTCTATCCCGAGTGCAGCCACACATGAAAACATCACTCCCTCCGGCTGGCTCACGGTCTCGCCGTCAGGATTGTAATGTCTGTTTTTTGGTAACTAGTCCTGAAACTTATGTTTCTCAGTCTGGGGGGGATCAATCCATCCATCTATTTAAGGTGTCAGTGTGCAGAGTCGATATTTGCTCTGACAGCGCTGGTGGGACGGTGCTTTCTTTGGTAAAAAACTATGGTCGTTTCTCAAGTCCGGGTGTGCAATTTAAAGAAAAAACTTTAATTTGACCATAAAACGATCGGGGTTTGCATTTAAAAAAAAGGGAGGTGGGAACGCACATTGGAGACCAGGTTCCTTCCCCGAACTGTATTAATGCAGCTGGGTTAATCTTGTCACCTGCCCCGGCTGAGCTGGCACGGGCACGGGTATGCTGTTCTAGTGCAAGTGGCACGCACGGCTTTTTTTTGCACGCCCTGTAGTGCTCACGGTTTCTGCCCTCTCCTTTTAACGCTGGTGGGAAGAGGAGCCCCTTCTTCTCCAGTAAACCCTGTGGAGCTGTAGGACGGTGGTCCTACTGTCTTCAAGCAAGTACTGGTGGAACAAGGTCGGTTTCCTTCTTGAAGTTGTCATTAGCTCTTGGTCATGAATACGCTTGCCCTGTTTAGGACTGTGAAATCCTAGGGAATATAAACTTTCATTTCTGCCCTTTTGTAGTCTTTTCTCCGATGCCTGATGAAGGGCGTTTGTGCCCAAAACCTTGCAATTAAAGATACTTTTATTTTTGTTGCAAAATTCTTGTTGGTCGAATAAAAGGTATCATCTCTACTACAAGTCCTGACTGACATTGTCTCTGGACCACTACGGCTACCACTTGGATACCTTGCCATATTTAGTGTGTTGTATACAGACCAATATAGAGAAGACGTACATTGCTTTTTTTTTTTTGTCTTTGGCATGGATGTATATTAGGGTATATAAATATTAAACGGGCGGTGTATGATTGCTTTAGGTCAGATTGGTTTTAGTGTCCAATATGTTGAATGAATTTTAGAAGTTATTCTTAAATACTGCTTCTGAAGGGAACTTGCTTGGTCAACAAAATGCTCCCAGGACTGATCAAGAAAGGAAAGGAAATCTAACCTTCTGGTAGCTCTTGGGGAGGATCATTATTTTTGAGCCAGTATAACTTCTGCTCATCTCTAGCTCTTCAATCTAAAGTAGCATTTGGGGAACAGTAATGCCAGGTCCATGCAGTGAAGTGCTTTGCCCTGCACATCCCTGTTGGAATACTCATTTTATGGATGATGTGCTTCCACAGGCTCTTGGGTGACTCTGCTGGCGAGTGACCCAGAGGTGGAGAGTAAAGGCTAAATTTTCTTGCAAAATGCTTCTTCCACCCAACGTACTGAGTTCTAATGGAGACCTGCTTGGTATTTGTGGGCTGCCTCAAAGCTACTGCGTAAATAGGGCAGCGAGCTATTTCATGGCCCAGCTCCATTACTGGTTCAGGCTCACTGGCATGTGGTCCATCAGTGAACCTTTGCACACCTGTAGTTTCTGTTGCATCCCTCTTGGTTAGAGCTTCATCCCTCTGTATGCTGTGTGCCTGAGGTCTCTAAGTCCCAGCAGCATCTTTGTTCTATTTCTGGTTTGTCATTGGCTCAACCTCATCACAGATTATCCATTTAGGGAAACCAAGTCTTGCCTAGCTGAGTTCCCAGGTTGCAAACTCCCTTTCTAATTGATTGGAAATCTATTAAAAATGGATCTTTGTTCAAGACCAGGCTGTTCATATGCTACCTATCAAAATGCTTTTAATATGACTCTTTAGTAGCTAGCATTACATTTTGTATTCTTTTAGGTTGCTCGCCTGGATGGAAAGCAAAAGTGGTTTTTTGGTGCTGCGTATTGTAGAGCTAATGTTTTGCACATTCTGTAAAAACAGTATTTTAACACTTAGTTAATGATGTAGAACCACAGGGAGTGTTCAGGACAGATCCTGAGGCTAGCAAGGGGGTAATTGGAGGAGTACCATAAACATTCACAATTCTGGTACTAAGGAGCTGGCAGGAACTGGAAATATTGCAAAAATTGCTTTTTGCTTCTTGGGGAAGAAATATCCTTCTTTGTTCCTGAGTTATTCCTGCTTAGACTTGGTTCGTGATATAGCCATGGTCTGTCGTAGCCAGAGGAAGAATTCCTCCAGCATTAGCAGGATCCATGAGAGTAGGAGAGCATCCGGCGGTCTTCAGCTCCTGCATTAAACAGTGAGCGGTACACCTGATACAGCTGGGAACTATGAATTGTCCTCCTGAATAGGAGTGCTCATTTCTGGAGGTAATTCATTCGTGCCTGGTTGTGGGCTGTGCCTTGTTTGATTGCCTTTGAGTTCTGTGTCCTGGAGGGGGGGTTTCCAGAAGTGTTGCAAGCAGTAGATGTTTTCTGTATTTCTTACAACGTGCATGTTCCATTTCACACTTGGCTTTTGAATGGTCCATGTCCCACATCAGATGCCCTTTCCTTCTGCGTGAAGAAGGGTGACAGTTTCTGCAGACAGCACCAAAGGTGTACACCCCTTTAGGTCTTATTAGTGTGGACGAATGTTACAGAGCTGTGCTGGCTGAGAATTAAAATAGTTTACTTTCTTTTAATCTAGTTTATTTTCCTGGATTTTTTTTCTTTAGACTCCAGTGGAGTTTTCATTGTATTTAATTGTAGTTTCACCATTCCCAACTTCCAGTCCCCTGCCAAGCTGACAGTACCACACTTGGTATATTTTCTTTTCCAAATGTGTTCCTGTCACACAGTGGATGTGATTTGGTTTTGCTTTTCAGTGAGAAGCGTAGGCAGACTTTTAACTGCAGTATGACAGTAAAGCTGTGTCATTCAGGTTGGGCTTTTTCTTTCTTGACAGAGGCTGGGAGGTAGTGGTAACAATAGAGGTGGTGACCTGGGCCACTTTCTTGCAGACAGTTCTGTTCATACAGCTTCTCATATTGAAGGGAGAGCACAGCCATTGCTCCCAACAGGATGCTGCAGTGACTCAATTCTAGATGTTGCTGACAGAAAAGAGGGCCATTTGTTTTCTCTACTCATTGCTTGTACTAGATCAATTGAAAGACAGGATCATGTTGCCAACTTGTATATCGAACTGCGACTACTGGCATCTGGATTTCATGTCACTGTGATCATTACGCTGGGGAATTTTGTGTATGATTATTAAACCAGTGTCCCAGAAAGAATAGCCATTGCTGCTGCTTTAGGGTAGTTCAGGGCATGTATTGCATTTTACATGGGAATTGTTATACTGGATCAGACCAGTGGTCTGTCTAGTTTGGGATCCTGTCACTAACGGTGGGTAGTATCAGCTGCTTCCAAGGGAGGGGCAAGAAATCCTATGGAGTAGATGGTTATGGGTAATATGAAATGAAGGGGACTTCTTCCTAAGTCCTAGTAAGTAGAGGCTAGCTTCACCTCTGAAATAAAGGCTTACATCCCTTCTGTATCTGTACATGTTTCCTATTACTGTGCATACCTAGTTATCTCTCTAAAATGTCCACTCCTTTATTTTTATTTTTTTTAAATCCAGCTAAGCTGTTGGCTTCAATGATGTGCTGAAGCAGCGAGTTCCACAGGTTAACCCAGCATTGTGCTGGAGAAAGCAGTTTGTTGACTTTCACTTGAACTGACTCTCCCTCCACCCTGTTTCATAATACAAGAAAAAAAGAAGCTCTTTCTTAAGACCCTTTTTTTTGTTTGCTTGTTATTGTATGCCCTTTTCCATATCTCCTCTGATTCACTTTCTAAGGTAGTCTCAGCCTTTTCAGTGTTTCTATGTGTACTTTTTTCCTGTATCTAATTGTTCCTGTTCCCTTTCTCTGAACCCTCTGCCTTACTTCAATATCCTGTTTGAGATGGCCAGTATAAATGAATACGGTATGCTTCCCACTTTGCACAATAGCACTTTGATTAGTTAGGGACCTTCTGAGGAAGCAAGGCAAGACGTTTGCAGCTGTTTGAAATGTGCACGGAACATCCATGTTGTCTGCTCCTGGGGCGGCCCACATTTGGTAGCAGGTATCCTTACGGAGATGGTAAATTCTGGGAGGTCCATACTTGTATTTTAATCCCAGTTAAGGAAGCAGCTCTGTGAATGTGAACAGAAATTGTATGTTGAGTCCCGGGTTTTTTCTCTCTTCAGGTGCTGGAAAATTACTCTGATGCTCCTATGACCCCGAAACAGATTCTGCAGGTCATAGAGGCTGAGGGACTAAAGGAAATGAGGTTAGTATTGATCTTCTTGTCTAAAACAAAGTGTGTGGTATGGGGGAGGGTGGATAGAAGGGGCTGGATTTCTTAGTGCAGCTCTTCCTCCTTTCTCTAACCTGTCTTTTTTTTCCTTTTCTCTCCCTCTGTAGTCTGATTGTCTAGGGTGAGAATGTATTAGGTCATTTTCTTTGACAGTTTTGGAGGATTTTCAAGTTCATTGGAACAAAAGCACTGACCCTCTGTGCCTTTTAGTGGAGTTGCGGGGATTTTGTAAAATACAGTAAATGCCGACTGCAGATCTGTCTCTCACATCAATACTTGTCCTTCGCATGTTCCTTTTATAAATAAATAACTAGCTACTAATACTGGGTCCGTGCTTTTACAATGAGTCAAAAAACTTTGTCTCCATAAAGCTTCCACTTCAGAGGATGTACCATGCCTTTTCCGGGGTCACAGAAGGCACCTTCCTTATATAAGCAACATATTGAGCTCCCTTCATTTTCCAGCACTTGGTATATTAGTACTGCTGTACTTTTTGTGGCCCCTGTAGACTGGGAGTACAGAAAAGAGGTGCACCTTATTGCATCTTTGACCTGGAGAAAAACCTGAACCTGACCCAAAAAAATCATAGGGATGGAAGACCAAGTGTCATCTGGGATTAGTCTCCTGGAATTCTTGGTTTTGTTATAAAGCAGAAGGGAGATGCACAATATTTGGCAGGCCAGAGGAAGGAGATGTTTGCTGCCTCTGATGCTGCAAACTCCTTTACTTGTGCAATGAGTTGGAAGTCACCAGGATTGATTACTGATAGTAGCTCAGCCTGTCTTTGGATGTTGAGTATTGATTGACTTCCGTGGGATATGAATACTCTGTGCTCCTCTAATTGTATCTTTTCCCTCCCTCGGTTCCACGGACTGTTTTCCACCATGTTGTATGCATCACTGTTGAACCTCTGCATAACTATAGAAGGTAAATGAATTCCTTTGGGATTTGGTCATTCAAAATTTTTATTTGTTTCTGCTTCTCTTTCCCTCTGAAATTAGGAACCAGTCATGATGGTTTGAGTAGTGAACAAGGTTGTAATTCAAACAGAGGTGTAATATGTAGGAGTTACTGTTGTTTGAAAAGGGACTGTGCCAGCTTGCAGTGCGGTGCCTTCTTGGTAGCAGAGCCACTGAAGCACCCACTCATTTAGGTTTCTTATAGATTTCGTAGACATTAGGGCTGGAAGGGACCTTGGAAGATCATTGAGTCCAGCCCCCAAAGAGGAGGTTGTTGGTGGGACTGGACATGGGCAACAATGTCAGAGCAGAATGTGGAATAAAAATGGAGTAAGATTGAAAAGCTTCATGGTTTTGCCCTGTTTGGATTAGTTATTCACCTATTTCCTTCCTTTGTTCAGCCCTCTTCCCTATGTGGGGTCTGTCGGCATTAAATTGTCCCTCGTGAATGGCGGTCACAGGCTGTCTTCTCTTAGTGCAGATTTTTCTTGCTTGTTTGCTTTGGGCACCTTTTTCATGACAGGCAGGTAAAAGCAGGCTTTGCCAAGTGTTAGCATTTAAATCTTGGGTTAAATTAATTTGTTTAGGGATTGGTGATTTTTCTCCAAGGGATTTCTGCTTCCATTTGTCCCATCATTGGTTTTATGCTACAAAGAGCAACTGCTTTCTCTCTTTATCATGTAAGTGAAAGGACAAGTATTTGCTGCAGATTCAATGATTAAAATATGGAGTGACCACTACAAGCAGAGATCTTGTCTAGCTAATTGTCAGGGTTTGGGGGACTTCCCAGAGAAATCCTAAATCTTGAAAGAAATAGCACAGTGACTCAAAGGACCCTCTTCCAGATGAGTCAGTCCTGATTCTAACAGACACTTGGCTGTATTCTTCAAGAAGTGCAACACTGGTTGTTAGTGGCTTATGCTTGAGCTGGGGCTTTTGGGGCGAGCCTCATAGCTAAATTTTAGAACCTGCAAATGTTTTGAGTTCTCTCATTCTCAGCTGCAGCTTCAGCTGGGGAAGTTACACTTTTTCCCCTCTTTGAATTTCTGTTCTGTTGCCTGGTAACTTATTTACCACATTCGTTTTGGTGCCACGGGAGAAATTGTGTAATAGAGGAGGAATCGGAACTTCTTCGTGGTATATAAAAGCAACCCATGGTAACTTTGCTTGCTTTCCAGGCTAACAAAGAAATGCCTGAAAACAAACACAGTCAAAATGAAACCAGAAGCCGACTAAGGCTGGTTTTCAGTTTGACAAGCTGAGATAAAATTATTTGACATTTTGGACTGAAACGTTTGGTCTGATACCAGTTTTAGTTTCACTTTGAATAACGGTGAATTCTGCTTTGCTGTTAACGTCTCCTCTAAGTACCATGTACCCATATGACTGTGGAAAACATGACATGGTGATGTGTGGCACAAACGTGTCATCAGTAGTGGCGTAGGACGGTTGCTTTACTTAGAAGTGACAAACAACCCCTGAGTCCTGTAGGCCACCTAGAATAATGGCATTAAAGCCCTCAGCTACACCACCTGGGCATGTATTCTTCTGGTGAGACGTATAGTACAGGAGACTGTTTTGGAAGTGTTTGGAAAAATGTTGTACCTCTGCTTACAAAGCCAGGTTTCCTTAGCAACATTGGGCCAGAAGAACTGTAGAAAGAAGAAGCATCTTGTGTTAGAAACTTCTTAATATGACCTAGGGTGACTTGAACATTGACATAACAAGCTGTTTCCCTTGTTTGCTGTGATATGCCAAGACTATGCAGTTCAGAAAGTAAAACAATAATTGGTTTTGACTGGCTAAAATACATTTCCATAAAGTTTATAACCATCCTCTCTACCTGCTGCTGCTGGTTTAAAGGGGAATAAACCAGTGGATGGCATAGTGCATTCTCTAAACTGGGGTTTAAATCATTAATCCTTTTTCTCTCTGTTTGCAGTGGTACTTCCCCCCTGGCCTGCCTCAACGCCATGCTACATTCCAATTCAAGGGGGGGTGATGGACTCTTTTATAAGCTGCCTGGACGTATCAGCCTTTTCACGCTCAAGGTAAACTGTGAACTCCTCTCTTCCTATCTGGGGACCAGTCACATATCTAACTTGAAGAGGTTGATGTTATAAAGTATATCAGCTTGACATATCAGATACAGTAACTTCTTGTGAAATAGTCTCTGGGATTGGGAATTTCTGTCTGCATAAGAGACGGTCATGATAAATTGCAGTTTTTTTAACTCTTAAATTACACAAGCAAGGCAAACTTCTCTTTTACCACTACTCAGAATGCCAGTCTTTTAGTTAATGCAGTTATGGGATGATAGTGCCTTGTCAACATGGTAAGACCTCTGTGATTCCCTTCCAGTTGTTGAAAAAAGGTACAGTCCGATTGCAAATAACATCTGTCTGAAAGTATCTAACGTACAATTACTTGAAGAAGTTAGTGTGAATTTTCTCATTTGTTTACCATTACACAGTTTCCCTGCCACAGTATTTACAGTTGTGATCCTTCTTTTCCCCGAAGCGCCTAACAGTTCTACCTGAAATCACTTACCAGTCAGTTTGAGCTGACAGGCCCTTTCATTTTAAATGTAGAGGACATGCCTAAGTTCCTCCATTTTTAGTGCTGTATTCTCTACTGTTAAGGACAGGCGAATAAATGACTGACATCTCAGATGTTCTTCTCTCCCCCATCTTTTGTCTCTTCCTTCAAAGATGCATTATGCTAATTGCCATTTTATGTCTGAGAATAGATCGAGTTCCAAAGTGTTTTTATTTGTCACACATGTAATCAATTCAAATGAATGCTTGAAGCGTGGCAGCTCAGTAGCTGCCTGCTCTGACACTGCTAGCTCTTTATCTCTAGAAGTGAAAAAAAATCAGTGGCTAAATACTGTCATGCAGCTTTTCATTCTAAGGATGAATCACTTTTTTTTCTGAATGTTAGAAGGAATAACAAAAGTTACACATGGACAGATCCAACCAAACAGTTGTTTGTTTTACATATTTCAGGTGTACTTGAATTACTCTGCTGAAAAGTATTCATGGAGCATGCTGGTGGTTCAGTTCTTGTATCTGAAAAGTCTGTATGGGGTTAACTTAATTAAAAACTATAGTGCTGGCTTCTCCACTAGCAGACCAAATCTATTTTAAAAATCCCTCTCTTTATAAAGGGGAATAAAAGGCAAAGGAGGGAAAAAATGAGAACTGCTAAGTCTTCATTGCTGCCTTTTGTGTTGGCAATGGGGCACACAATAAGAATGAAAACAGGGTGCGTGCTACCAAGATGGCAGTGGGCCACAGTTAGAAGGAAGGGCACTAATGACACCAGATACCAGATACTGAAATTGTCTGCTAGCCAGATAGGGAAGAGCAGCTATTCCTTCCCCTGCTCCCACCAGACACACTTGCATGTATGTGCACGTACACATGCACACACACAGATGTTCTGCTTCATGTCTCCCTTCTCATCAGTGCAGAGGCAGAAAAGGATCTTGGAGTCCTCATTGATGCTAAGATGAACATGAGCCGGCAGTGTGGGGATGCAGTCAGGAAGGCCAACTGCACCTTGTCATGCATCCACAGATGCATCTCAAGCAGGTCCAGGGAGGTGATCCTCCCCCTCTATGCAGCACTGGTCAGGCCACAACTAGAGTACTGCGTCAAGTTCTTGGTGCCACGCTTCAAGAGGGATGTGGACAACATGGAGAGGGTCCAGAGGAGGGCCACTCTCCTGGTCAGGGGGCAGCAGGGCAGACCCTACAAGGAGAGGCTATGGGACCTGAACCTGTTCAGCCTCCACAAGAGAAGGCTGAGGGGGGATCTAGTAGCCTGTTACAAGCTAGTCAGAGGGGATCAGCAGGCATTGGGGGAGTCCCTGTTCCCCCAAGCACTGCCAGGAGTGACCAGGAATAGTGGTCACAAGCTGGCAGAGGGGAAATTCAGATTAGACACCAGGAGGCGCGACTTCGCTGTCAGGGCGACTAGGATCTGGAACCAACTTCCAAGAGAAGTGGTGCTGGATCCTACCCTGGGGGTCTTTAAGGCAAGGCTAGACAATCACCAGTACCCTTTCCTGCCATGGCAGGGGTTCGGACTTCATGATCTGCTCAGGTCCCTTCGACTCTACTAACTATGAAACTGTGTATTTAGCACTGGGAGACACGTACTAGAATTTATGAAATACCAGATACAAAAAGCTAGTTCAGTGGATGGGCTTCCTTCATAGCAGGTCAAACATGCTTTCATTCAGCCTGGAATTGTATCTCCAGCATATTTGCAGGCACAGTTTGTGCTGTTGGCCTGTTAAAAATTGCAAGAGGACATGTGGGGTTGTCTACAGCAGTGGTGACCAGCCTTTTTTTTGGCAGGTGTGCCACAAGTGAAGCCCCTCTCTCCCTGAGTGCCACTCTGATCCTCTCCCCTCCCTCAAGAGGCATACCCTGAGACAGCAAGAGGGCTCAAGCCTCTGGCCACAAGTGAAGTGGAGCAGCAGCAGGATACTACTGTGAAGCGAGGTGTCAGTGCCAAGAGTAAGGTTAACCCTTCTCTGGCCCTGCAAACACTGCAATTTTATATGGCAGGCAAGGATCCCAAACCCTTAGTCAGCAACTGCAGGGCCAGAAAAGTCTTAACCTTGCTCTTGCTGTGCATGGAGTCTTTGGTAAGGGAGTCTCAGGGCCTGGGGGCTCCATGTCCCTTATCAGCTGCACTAGATTTATTATTTTATGGCCACAGCCATAACAGGTGTCCTTACCCTGTGGTGGCCTCAATTGAGGCACCTAAAGATAACTTAGGTGCACAGTGACAGCTTCAAGGCCCACACTTTTTGTGGGACAGGACAAGCAGGGCCCAGGGATAGAGCATATGGAGGACCTCCTGTGGTGGCACCTTCAGACCTCATGATATGGATGGGGGTGGGAGGAATTTATACTTTTTGGGCACCTGCATGCCAGAGGCTGCACCTGCATGCCAGAAGAGGCCCTAGAACAGCCTACTCCCCATTAGCTGGGCATCCCTTTCAGTAGAGATGAGGTCTGGGGCAATGAGTTTGCCCCATGCACCTTGCCAAGGTCTTGGGGTCCAGGTGATTCCATGGAGTAATGGGATGAAGTGTCCCAGAGGGCTGGCTCTGGGCAGTGCCACCCCAGAGCATCCTGGTCTCACGAATCTTTGTGGGGCAGTGACCTTAGAGCCCTGGGTCCGCATGTAACTCCAGGGGCACCTGGGACAGAGGGCTCAGTGTGAGGCAGCACCAGGGCATGTGAGGCTGTATGACGGGTGCCCTGCTATGCTTCTGGGGGCACCCAGTACAGAGGGCTAGGTGAAGAACAGTGACGGGGCCAGTCTTGCTTGGAGCTTGCTTCACGTATGCAAGTCCTGGCCTTGGGTTGTTAGGCTGTGCTGGGCCACGGTGGAGGCACAGCTAACAAGCTTTGTGCACTGGGTAAAGCACCACTGTGCCCTGTGGCTGGGGGATGCCAAGCAGGGAGGGAAGAAGGGTGGTCAGTCTTACCTTCCTTGGTGAAATGAAGGCATTGTCATGCATGCAGCCCCTCTGGTAGACCCAGTTGTCACGGATGGGCTGAACAGGTCAGTGGGGGCAGCATGGTCTGCACCATGTCCTTACTACTCCTGGCAAGGGACCTGCTCCCATACATGTGCACCAGACCTGGAAAATGTAGCATGAAAGGTGACTTAAGTGACCTTTCTATGTTTGGCCAGGGGGCATGCTCAGGCATAGAACCATAGAGAAGTAGGCTTGGAAGGACCTCTACAAGCTATGTAGTCTAACCTCCTTCCTGAAGTGGGATCATCCCTGTTCTCACTAGCAGCCAGCGCATAACATAGGCATGCTCATATTTATCCAACTGAGTTATTCAAGCTAGTTCTTGCCTAGAGATTTTTCTGTGTTTTTAATTGTGTCCGTTAATCAGCAGAGGTGGCAGGAGCGTGTGCATGTTCATCCTAATGAGCAAATGTTGTACAACTTGGTTCCATTTTATTCAAGAGCCTCTGTCTAAGCAGTGATAACTGTAGCTATTAGAGTGGATGTTCCTGTTGGTCTCAACTTAATGTTCTGGCGGAAGTCACCTGGGTTCTGCTTGGCCCCTCTAGAAGGACGCCTTGCAGTGGTCTCGGAACCTGTCTGTGCAAGAGGGAGAGGAGCTGGAGGATGCAGCGGATGCAGAAAGCTGCGAGTCCAATGAAGCCAGCACTGTGAGTGGTGATAATGATGGTAAGTGTCTAACAATGTTAACGTTATGCTGCAAGTGTCAACTTCAAGGGCTAATCACATACTCTCTTGTTTCAGTGTCTCTTGATGAAACCTCCTCCAATGCCTCCTGCTCTGCTGAATCTCAGAGCAAGGGTCTCTCCACTGCCAGGGAGAGCTACAGAGCAGCTTCACAGGTAGGGGGGACAAGCATGCCACTTCAACTCCAGGTTTGAAGCTTGGGAAGTATTGGGTGGGCAGAGCTCATGGCTGGCTCAAGCACAGTGTACAGCTTGTGTAGATGCATCTTTTTTTTTTTTTTTTTGGTTCTGGCAGCTTTTGGGGTACTATGTGGAGATTGGGTGTAGGTCTGAGAAGAATTGGATGTGCATTAGTGCCCCCTCCTTAACAGGTGACAGTTCAGGGAGCGAGTGTGAATGGGGAATCTACAGCTTAGAAAAAAGATTGTACCACTTTTAATACTAAGCTAGTGGGTACAAAGAGGCTGCAGTCTTGCTGCTATCAGTAACCTGAGTAAATGCCTAACACGCAGCTCATAGGCTGGAAGCCTGTTTGTGGCCAGGTGGTGGTTCATGAATGAATTCAACTAGGAAAAGGTACAGTTTCTAAGATAATCTGTGTGCGCCCTACACAGCTTGTCTTGTCTTTCTCTGGAACACAGACAAGCAAGCAAAAGAAAAAGACTGGTGTGATGTTGCCCCGAGTTGTCCTGACTCCACTGAAAGTAAATGGAGCACACATGGAGTCTGCCTCAGGTGAGTGCTTGATCCATCTGGACTGTTTTTAGCATGGCGTAGCTCTTTGTCTGCTGGTCCTTACAGCTAGCTCTCCATATAAATTCTTCCAGAACCAGCATGGGGCAAAGATGTCTTTTAATATTTGCTAAGCTTGCAGATAATTCTAATGAATTTGCACACTGCTGTCTTATGGGTTAAAATATGTACTTAATATTTGAGCAGCCAGTTGTGCCTAGCTAGCAGTGGATCTGTTGTAAGCAGATTGCTATCGTATGCCAGAATCGCTCCCCAGGTGGGGCTGCTTCGTGCATCTCTGACAGATGGTTTTGCCATTAGGGTTTACAGGAAGGCATGTGGATGGAGAGAGCAGCAGCACTTCCAGCAGTAGCAGCAGCTCCTTGGCTTTGTGCGGTGCCACTGTGCGGAGTCGAACAGAAATTAACAGGGACCCTCCCCAGCTCCTGAGAGGTATTCGGAAGCCGACGGCTGGTAGGTGCTTCAGTATATAGTCCAGGATACAGTCCTGGGGGTGGGAAAAAAAAAAACAAATCAAGTTCAGCCATGTCCAAGTCGGTCCATTTTGAAGGGAGAACTTCTGGACTTTTAATCTAAACATCTTTGCCAAGCCAGAAGGTCCTCAACATCACATAATTCTTTCCCCACAGTCAACGAGGCAAGGACTTTCTAGATGCTGTTGACTCTGAAATGCAGCATTAAGGGCCATTTGTTTGCACACTGGCATAATTGCAAGGAAATGCTTAACATACCTTTCTGAAAAACCTGTTAAGAAAAGTCCTGAGCAAAGGATAAAGCCTTTATCAGCCATATTGTGGATATGCCACCATGCTGCACGCTTTAATCCATGTGAAAATTTCTTAAGGCACGTCTGAGTCAATGACATGTGATGCCTCCCAAAATAGTGCAGATTCCTCATGCCTATAAATGATCTCACCAGGTGAGCTAAAGAGCTGTCCCCTTGGAAACCCACTAGCCCCACCCCTTGAATGCCTCACAGACATACAGTAATGGAGAAGCATTGCTTTTCTTGTGCCACGGGTCTCCCGGGGTGTGGCTGGTGGGGTCACTGGCCTCCCGTATCAAAGTGGCCTGACTTTTGGACATCTACAGATGGTGGTTCCAAAACAGAAGAGAGGTATTCTTAATGTTTGCAATGATTCAGGGCTAAGCTTACTCCTGCTTCCTGGTGGAAAGTACTTTGCAAAGCACCTGATTCATGGTTGTTTTGGAAAAAGGTTCTTGAGAAGCCCACTGGTCTCAAAATACTAGCCCTCTCTTCTGTATTAAGCAGTCCGTCTGTTTATGTAATAAACATTTCTAAACGCTAAGTATTTTAAGGAATCCTCTCCTTGTGTCAGAGTGCCACATCCTTTTTCTCCTGTAGAGAAGCAGGTTACAGCAGCATTTGGCTATGTGGGTTGGGTACCCATGTTTATAAAATGTTTTCTATAAATATATTTTTAAAATTTTTCTTTGGTTGTCTGAAAACTACAGGGCAAATGAAGCGAAACAGGGGTGAGGATATCGACTTTGAGACACCTGGGTCTATTCTTGTCAACACCAACCTCCGTGCTCTGATAAACTCCCGAACCTTCAATGTGCTCCCGGCACACTTCCAGCAGCAGCTTCTCTGCCTCCTGCCAGAGGTTGACAGACAGGTACAGGCACATGACTGTTGCTGCATGTACTGGTGCTCCTTACTGTATTGTTTCTGTTCTTGAAGAGCTACAATGTGTCTTCTGGCTGCTTACACTCTGTTTTCTTTAGGTTGGGGCAGATGGGCTGATGCGTCTCAGTGGCAGTGCCCTAAACAACGAGTTCTTTACGCATGCTGCTCAGAGTTGGAGGGAGCGCCTGGCTGATGGTGGGTAGATTTGATCTCTCAATGACGGGAAGGATGCCTGCAGGATATGCCTCTCACTTCTCCTACCTGTTCAGTTGGAGCTTGGTTCTCCACCAGCTTTACAATCTGGTTGCCTACATTGCACCCTCCCCCACCACACCTCCTTTTTTCAAAAGGATTTAAGCACCTAAGGAGAGGGTAACTTAGGGGTCTTTAGAGCAAAATGCTGCAGAAATATAAAATGCTACTAGACTTGTAACTCTCCTCTAATGCTGCCCCTACTGGGTGGAATGTAGTTTTCACACCTGTTCAAGGGGTTGTGATGGTGTTGCCCTCTCGTGGCTGCAGTGCGTGAAGGATACAGACTCAAAGATACCGTGACCCCAGGTTGCCACAGAATAAGGTTTCAGGAACTGTGTCCTTGTGTAACCATTAGGAAAGGATGTGTAGCGCCACAAAATCTCTGGGCCTGCTTCCCACTCTGGTTGCAGATCCTGGCTCTGCTCTGCATATCTATTTTGTGCTGATCACTGTAGTATCTGAGTGTTTAATCTTTTCTCCCCACCCCCCTCTCTCAGAATTACTGTAAATACAAATCCCTCTGCACAAAAGGAAGTTGCTGTAATGCCCCGACCCAGTACCCTACATACTCTATAGACAAACTGGCCCTCTTTAGCTAGCTCCTCTGGGTTCTGTAAGATGGACTTATAATTGTGTGGTAACTTCTGGTAAACTTGAAACTGGAAACTCGTGTTGAAGTAAATAGAAACATGAATAATGCATACGGGTGTCAAAATAAAAAACAGCATAGGCATTTAGCGTTGCTCCTATGAATCGGTGTCCAGATTCACACCCTAACGTGATGAGTGGGAATGTCACACCTCTGAGCTGTTGCTTAAGCCTCTGGGCGGTCTTGGGGGAAGAGATATTCCATTCTGACTCTTTTTTTGCATCCTGAGGACTTCAGACAACCGAGGTCTAGGAGCACTTTTTTTTTTTTTAAAGCAAATGTAAGGTTCCAGATTTTCACATGGGAAGATTCTGTGACCCTTGAATCAAGACAGCTTCCTTTGTTTTTTTTTTAATGTTGTCACATGAGGATATTTCATACAATGTAATTAACCTCTAGGGATGAAGTCCTGGCCCTACTGATGTTATGGGAATTTTGCTGTTACATGGGGCCAGGATTTCACCCTGGGAGTGAGTGCTCTTGATCTCAGTTGGGTAGATATTTGGGGTAATTAAATCTACACTTGCTGGTTCCTGTGCAGGGGAATTCACACACGAGATGCAAGTTCGAATACGGCAGGAAATGGAGAAGGAGAAGAGAGTGGAACAGTGGAAAGAAAAGTTCTTTGAGGACTACTATGGGCAGAAGTAAGTAATACCACCTCACCTGCCTCACTCTGATTTGGTCAAGTGGAGGGGGATGTCTTGGAGAAACAGCAACATATGCTCCTTTAGGATTGTTAATTATGGGGTGAATCATTCCAGGATCCTTGGGTCTGCTTCAGGATTAGGTGAAAGCGGCTGGTCCCAGCAGAGTTCCAGCACCCATCAACGTTTTTGTCCCCTGGACTAGTGATGTTGCAGATTTAGTTTTATGCCACAACTCTTGACTCTCATAATGACCACGTAAGAGGTCTTTGTCTGTTGGTTTTACCTAGGGCTTGATGAGTGTCTACTTTGCGTTCCATAAAGAGCCAAATACAGCTCTGTTAGTGCATGCTGTGATTGATAAACTACAGTTCTCCAGTGGGGTGGAATCTGACCTAATGAGGTTTGTTCTGGCTTTTTAACCAGTTCTCCTCTTTGCAGGTTGGGTTTGACTCGAGAAGAATCTCAGCAGCAGAATTCGGTGCAAGGTGCTGAGAACAGGACTGGATTGTCTGTCCAGGGAGAAGCCTCAAGGCCACTGCGTGGTCCTTCTACACGGCAGCGAGATGGACACTTCAAGAAACGTTCTCGGACAGATCTGCGATGCAGAGCAAGAAGAAGCCTGTATAAAATACGTGAGCCTGAGCAAACTGAGACTACCAAAGAGATGGCATCTGTGGCACCAGATTCGTCCTTCCATAGAGAGATGAAAGCTGATGTGGACTTGAAAGAAGATCTGATGGGCTCTTCCTCAGCATCGTTGAAGCCGGAGAGTTCAGGATTGCTGGTTTCTCCAGAGGCATCCAGACTGCACGGCAAACTGGAAGATCTGTCACTGGCAGCTGCATCTGTAAACAGAATTCCCAGTTTGCCACAGGAGAACTCAGCTCGAGAGTCAAAGGACCAGAAGAGGAAATGCTTTGAGGAGGCTGCCTCTGCCTCCTTCCCCGAAAAGAAGCCCCGGCTTGACAATCGTCAGTCCTTTCGTAACACAATTGAAAGTGTTCACCCAGAAAAGCCACAGCCTACTAAAGAGGAGCCCAAAGTCCCACCCATCCGGGTAGGAGAGGGAATTATAATTGCTTATTACTGTAGGGATATCTTGCCAGGTAGCATCAAAGTAACACTAAATATATCAAGTGTCGTCTTGAGAGGGATGAAAGAGTCGTTCATTGATTGAGCTGGCTAAAATCTAACTACTGCATTCTTTTGGTTTGTTTAGACAGTGGTGCAGAGTGAAAAATCATTCCAAGGTGTCCTGCAAAAGAATGCACAATAGCCTTGATTTATTACACAGGTTGCTTGTAGGTCTGTGAGCATAGGAATGCTTTTTCCTGGTGCTCGCTGAAGTAGTGTAGTAAAGATTTTCAAATCCTGTCATCATAACCTCCCTGTCTGTGGGGTGTGAAGGAGAGGATTCTGGCTTCCCTGAAACTCCGGCTGTGCCCTTGGATAGGGGGACCCCATTCTACTGAGTCCAGAGTGATTACACCTGATAGAAATCAAAACTGACTCTTCTCTATAAAGTGCAGACTCTGGTGGTGCTTATCCCATCAGTTTAGTATTTGTCTGCAGGACAACAAGGATGATGTCACCATAAAGTAAATCTTAAAATGTGGCATGGCACAGTCTGAACAGAGACGAAGGGCAGCTGCAAAATCCCTCTGCAGAAACTTTAGCCAAATGCACTGAATTTCTCTAATGCTCATTTTTGTAAATCAGTTTAGAACACAATGCCTTTTGCCTTCTAAGAACCATCCACTGTTGGATTAAAATACCGACTGACCCTTTTTTTCCCTGTGGTTTTCTTTCAGATTCAACTTTCACGTATCAAACCACCCTGGGTGGTTAAAGGTCAGCCAGCTTACCAGATATGCCCCAGGATCATCCCCAACACGGAGCCCTCCAGTCGGGGCAGGACAGGTGCCAGAACACTCGCAGACATTAAAGCCCGTGCTTTGCAAGCCCGAGCCCAGCGAGAGGCTGCTACAGCCATTGGAGGTGGGGGTGGGCCAGGAGGAGGAGGGGGGAGCAGCACAGATAAAGGAGGAGGAGACTCCAGTAGCCATACAGAGCACAGGAAATCAAAGAGAACTCATGGAAAGTGTTCGTCAAATCTACAACGAACACAATTACTGCCGCCTCCCCCTCTAGAAGAGGCTAATTCTGAGGTAGCTGTGCAGGTGGCTAACACACATCCCTCTAGACCTGCAAAACTGGATGCCTGCGCTCCTAACGGTGAGGGAGGCTGTCTTCTCGAACGTGCTGCAGATGCTGTCTCAGGGGGAGCTCAGCTTACTGCTGGTTCAGCTAAACTCCCGCGCAGCAGTCCTTTGACTGGGTCATCCTTTGACACTGCGACTTCTGAGGAGCAGGAAGACAACTCTGAGCCACTCCTACAGGACATAAGGGCTGAAAGCCTGTGCAATCAGCAGGAATGCATGGTTCCTCGTGAGAACAGCCTCTCTTGTTCTCAGGCACAGGGGTCTGTAGTGAGTTTAGTAGGAGAGAGCAGTATTGTTTCAGGGCGTAAAGATGGTAGTGCTCCTACAGAGTTGAACTGTAATCCTGTTGGCAAGGAAACTTTGCCTGTGCAATCTTTTCTTACTCCAGAATCATCACCAGAAGGTAAAGAACAACAAGAGCCAGACAGTGAAGCTAGATTTAATGGCTCTGACTCATCTACAGGAGATGGTGCCATTAATTGTGAGAACTCAAAAATGAATGCAGTTGGAATGGAGAACATGGGCCCAGGGTTAAGCGTTTTCACACACCTACCAGCAGAGAGATTGAATGAAAGTGAAATACAGAACGGAGGAGAGCAGCGCAGGGGGTCTCTGGTGAAACCCTTTTCACATGATGGTCTACCATCTCAGGATGGAATAGATATCTCTGAAGGACTTCCTCAGCTGTGGGAGAAGCTGCCTGGAGCAGACATGAAAAATGCCTGTCAGCAAATGAGGGAGATTCAGGAGCTGAAGACAAATGGAGATGACGAAACCCAAAGCATACACAGTGAAACCACAGAAACTGCTTCAGATTTTGAAGCTGACCTAACAGATGAGAATGCAGAGATGGAGATGTGCTTCAAGAACATCAACCAGGAGGAAGCTACAGGAAAAGACTCCTCCAAGCAGAGCCAGGCTGGGAGATTCAACAGGATTGGATCTGAATCCACTATGAAAAGTGACAGTCTTTCATATGTGGTGGATTTGCCTTCAGTAACAGTGGTGAGTAACTCGTCTCAGCCTCAGAGGTGGGTGCCACATACACCTCTAACCCAAACACCTGAGATCCAGAAAAAGCTGCCCACTCCCACCAGGCCCATGTCCTCTGTTGAAGCCAACAACCCTCTGGTTATGCAGCTGCTCAAGGGGAATCTTTCTTTGGAGAAAGTTCTCCCAGTATCACATGCCAGCATCCAAATAGAAATTACAGAACCACATCTGGACAGGTCCTCGGAAAACCATTCCTTGCAAATGGAGAGGAGTAGCAGTAGCTACTTTGACCAAGATTCTTCACAAGATGTGGAAATAAGTACAGGTGCCCTAAGTAGAAGTGGTGATTTCTACTCTCAGAGATCTCTGGGAGATCCCCAGAAAAAGCAAGGCAACTCTGGGACAGCATTGCCCAGAACAGAAGCTATAGAGACCCCGTCTGACATTCCAGAAACGCATCCCAAAGTTGGTCTAAACTTAAACTCTCAAGACCACCTGGGAAGCCTTGTGCGTGGCTCACAGAAGCCTGAAGAGTTGGGCCGCAGAGAAAGAAAAGCCTCCTCTTGTAGCTTTGAAAATCAGAAAGAGTTGCCTCAGGTCCATAGTGTCCCACAGCACAATCCATTAACAAATGTCGTCACAAACAAAAGTCCGGAAAAGCTAAATCCACCTGCAGCACTTAGATTTTTATCTCCAAATGTAACCTCTCTCAGTCCAAATCAGAATGGTGGAACCTCTGTCAATAAACATTATGTTGGTGTCCAAGGCAAAAAGCTTTTTGGTTCTGGCTTCCCCTGCAACAGCCCTGCTAGGCTACATCATCCTAGAGCTTTGGAGCATGTTCCAGCCCTGGGAACTTTGTCTCCCAGCAAGCAGATGCCACCGAATAAGAGCTGTGCCCCTGGAGCAGGAGTACCAACTGCTAGGGAGGAATGGCCTTCGAAACAACCAGCCAGTACCCTGGGAGGAATAAAAAATGAGAACGTCCTGGCCTGTGGGGACCCAGCCAAGAGTAACATGGAGAACAGGAAGGATGCTGCCCCAAATCCTGTGGAACTGATGGAGCATTTGCAAAGCGTTCCCCTGGTCATGGACTTGCCGTTTTTCAAGTTACCAAGAGAGCCAGGAAAAGGACTCAATCAGCCTTTGGAGCCTTCTTCCATCCCCTCTCAGCTTAATATCAAACAGGCATTTTATGGGAAGCTTTCTAAGTTTCAGCTTAATTCCACCAGCTTTAATTTTTCATCCAATGCTCCAGCTTTTCCCAGGGGCCTCGCTGGAAGCATGATGCAGCTAACCCACAAAGCGAACTTTGCTGCAAATCATAATGCGTCTCTCTCTGTGCAGATGTTTGCTGATAGCAGCAGTGTGGAAGAAATATCGCTCAAGTGTTCCTGCAGCCTTAAAGCCATGATTATGTGTAAAGGATGCGGGGCATTTTGTCATGATGACTGTATAGGACCCTCTAAGCTTTGTGTATTGTGCCTTGTGGTGAGATAATAAATTATGGCCATGGGAAAAATTGTATATTTAGTGTGTGTATTTTGATAATGACTGATCCTCAAACCTGTATACAGATATGAATCTGTTTATAATAGAGACAATATTACACTCTTAAGTTTTGGTGAGAAAGTTGATTTGCCTTCCCACTCAAATCGACGATGCAAAACCTTTTCTTGCTCACAGTTACACTCCGGTCTGCTTAATGCCATCATGGAAATGTTGATTGTGCTCTGGTACATGTACTGAGGCTAATCCCTGACTGAGAGGCAGCCTGCTGGGCGAATCTATGGACCTCTTAGAGGAGACTGTTATATCCAAAGGAACTGAAGCAGGGTGTGTTTCCATTTTAAGGGCTGAGCTAGGTTAGGCCCTGTTCTGCCTTAGCAGAGCAGAATCCAGTCTTCCACTCTCCCCTTCTGCCATCTCCACTCCCTGTGTGTGGAAAAAGTACTACTGTACAATCAATGTAGACGTGAAGCTTCTCTGCAGATGGTGGTTCTGCATGCTCCTTTGAATGCTACAGCAGAACAAAGTGACCAGGAAAACGCTGCAGGTGGCTAACGAGTCCCGTATGGGTGACCACATGTTGGACGGAGCCATGTGTAGGGAATGCAGGAAGCCAAACATGCTAGCTGCCAGCCTCGGTGTCTTCTGGACTGAAGGAAGATGCCTGGCTTCCCGAACTGTTGGACCAGTTGACGTGGCCGCTTCTCCTAGCAAATACTGCTACAAACTAGTATAAAAGGTCAAGGGTTCCTGAGAATTCATTTGTGTGGCCAGTAATCTCTCTGTATTAAAGCCCTACAATAAGGATTTTACCATGACAGCATCTGACCACTCGCAAGTGTCTAGCTGTGCATCTGTGTGTGATGGTCATCTAACATTCAAAGCAGTGTTTCCCTTTTTTCTTTTTTATACTTTTAACTTTTCATTCTTGGATGTATAAAGTGGATTATTTGGCTCCTGTAAGTGTATACTCTCTGCATTTGTTTGATCATGTAATTATATGTTGTACACAGTACTGGCCAATTCTGTAAATGGATGTAATGTACAAAGAACATAATGGGGTTTTCTGGGGGTTTCTTTTTCTTTTTTTTCTTTTTTTGGATTTCTTTTCTGTTTTTTTAATTTCTTTTTGTTCCTTTTTTTTTTGGGCTCTTCAGCAGTATTGCATTAAAGTGGTGTTAGTTATTAATCTGCATCTGTAGTCAGAGCCACTGTATTCTGTCTTGCCTGATGTGAGGCTGAACGTGCAAAGGTGTGTGTCTCGATTCCAGCTGCCTCCCTCTGCCCCACTGGCGGCTGTGCACACATGGACTGCAATGCAATCTCCAGGACGACCTGCCATGATTTGCTGAGCTTGGTTGTATCTTGCTTCTCTTTCTCTCAAACTCTCTCTCTCTCTCTTTTTCTCTCTCTCTCTCTCTCTCTCCTCTCTTTGGCAGTAACAATTCACTGCTATCGCCATGAACAGTGTTAAAGCTGCAGTGCAAAGAGGTGAAAGCTCTTTCGCATCCGTGATTGATGCGAGCAAGAGAAACCTGACCCTTCCTCCTTTGAGCAGTTGCCTCTCAGGACTGGGTTGCCCCAAGTGCAAACCTACCATTTTATTTAAACAGCTAGTGAGGATTGTGATGCTTTCTCCCACCCCTTTTCTACCTCCTACCTACCTCTTGACCGTGCGCCTTTTTTAATTGTAGACTTCCCTGTTCTGAGATCCATAGGGAGTGTGAAATCTGTGGGCTGCAGTCAGCTTTGTTGTCTCTGAAATGGTTTACCCTTCACCAATCTGGCAGCTTTATATTGTAAAATGAGAGACAGCCAGGTGCTGGGGTGAATTGAAATGCAGTATTAGAGAAGTCTGAGGGGATGGTATGAAAACCTGCTTACCAAAGATAGGAAGCAGAGCTGGGCAGTCTGGCTCTGTGCCCTTTGGGGCCACTGTAGCGTACAGATTGAAGCTGGTCTGGTCTGCAGAGCTCTCCAGAGGGCCCTGCTCTTGTATGTCCCTTGTGGTATTGGAAAAATAAACACTGTAAAACCTGCATTTGTGGTTTCAATCCTCTTCTTCTGCAACTCTCCTGGTGCTGCAGACTCACGGATCTGCCAGGTTCAATGTCGTTTTGCCATAGCCAGGATGAGAGAAACTTTTATTTTTTGACAAGGTCAGTTCGGTTCGCCTTTGGCAGCACTCCCTAGTTCTTCAGCCAACCTGAACAAAGGGGGGGCTGTCATTGCTGCATAGAAACGACCGATTGAAGTTCAGACAGCAGCAGATGAGTGAAGACGGTGCCCCTCCTGCAGATCCTTCCTCAGGTGAAGCCAAGTCTGGAAGATGCAAACCAAGCAGTTTGGAGTATTGGATTTCTTGCTGGAGCAAAGTTCACCGCTGTCTCTGCCCTTCCATGATGGCAGGGGTTTCTGACAGTTGCTTTATTGGGGCTAATTCACTGTATGCCATAGCACATAGGGAGGTCTCTTGTTTATTAGATTAATACTTGGCCTCTGCTATTATATGGCTTTTTCTTTTAATGTCTGATTGTTGGATTAATAGGTATTAATGCTAATTTCAAAGCAGTGCAATGGGTTGATGCCAGTTAAAGGACTTCAGAAACTACTAGTAAGCTTAGACTGTCAGTATGCTT